CCTCAGACTGGGCTGAAGGTTCACCTTCCAACAAGACAATGACCCTAAGCACACAGTTAAAATAACGAAGGAGTGGTTTCACAACAACTCCGTGACTGTTCTTGAATGGCCCAGCCAGAGCCCTGATTTAAACCCAATTGAGCATCTCTGGAGAGACCTGAAAATGGCTGTCCACCCACGTTTACCATCCAACCTGACAGAACTGGAGAGGATCTGCAAGGAGGAATGGCAGAGGATCCCCAAATGCAGGTGTGAAAAACTTGTTGCATCATTCCTAAAAAGACTCATGGCTGTATTAGCTCAAAAGGGTGCTTCTACTAAATACTGAGCAAAGGGTCTGAATACTTATGACCATGTGATATTTCAGTTTTTCTTTTTTAATAAATCTGCGAAAATGTCAAATTCTGTGTTTTTCTGTCAATATGGGGTGCTGTGTGTACATTAATGAGGAAAAAAATGAACTTAAATGATTTTAGCATATGGCTGCAATATAACAAAGAGTGAAAAATTTAAGGGGGTCTGAATACTTTCCGTACCCACTGTATGTATATCATGACTGTGTTTTATCAGCTTAGAAAATATGTTTGTTGATATCTGTGACTGGTGAAGATCAGATCACATTTCATGACAAATTTATGCAGAAAAACAAGTAATTGCAAATACTGCTATTAGTTTTTCTTGCAACCAAGTATGAGCTCAACCGTCATGAGTAACATCAATCCAAATCTGATCTGATTTTATTTGTAATAAAGTTTAAAACATTAAATACAACTTTTCAAAATCACTTAAGATTGACTGTGCTGAGGTGGACATCCCATGTTTAGAACTCAAGACAAAGTTTACATCTTGACTTTGAACTTCAAAGCTAAAACTTGAGCCTTGAAAAAGCAGCATCTTTGTCTCACCTCTGCCATCAACTAAATTCGCATATGCCCACCTGTGTATAATCAGTTTGAGGAGTTTGTAGCATAAATGTATACTTTGTTTCCCTGTATGCACTGCCTGGTATGTAGTGTCATATTTTAACTGCATATTAGAATAATCACACTGCATCCAACCTTTTAAGTAAAATTGTGGTTGCAACTAACATTTATTTTCATTATTGTTTAACCTGCTGATTGTGTTTTTCATTAATCAAGTGTCAATCGATCAATTGTCTACTAATGGAAAAAGTCCATCACAACATCCAGAAACCAAAGTGGTTTTGTTAACCCATCATATACCACAAAACCTGAAGATATTTAATTCGTAATAATGTGTCAAAAAAAAAAACTCAACTGAAAAGGCCAAAACTACACAATTAAGTATTAAAATATTTCATGGATCCCTTTCTGACAAACTAGTGGCTTTCCTTTCAGCTTGACTTGATATTTCGTTAAGTAGTAAACTGTGGCTTAAAAAAAAAAAAATCAAAAATGTACACCAGCAGAGGAAGTTCTTTGTCTGAAATGTAAAGTTTCTTTGCAAAAAGTTAGGCTCGTTTTTTGACAAACTGTGTATTTGATGTCACAACGTTAAATGCCAATACTGACTTTACACTTTAATGTGCATTACATTAGTACTACAAACATATTTCTGTACTGTAGTCCTGCGGCGGCCTCCCCGCACACACTGAAAAGTTTGACGGCAGTCTGGCTGTTATTAGTCCTGGCGGTCGTTAACGTCCAAGTACGACAAATGTGGACTTTTACAAAAAGATGTATTCAAAAGTAAAACTTTCAGGCCGCTCAGCTCAAACTCTCAGTTACGTTAAACTTTATCTTGCGGTGACCACTTTCCTCTTCAAACACTCAGGTAGCCTTTTCAACTCGCCACGCAGCCTCTGCACAAATGGACCGAAAGAATCTGGATGCGATTTTTTTTTTTTTTTAGAGGATGTCTCTGTCGGTTTCACAATAACGCCACATCCTCCGGTTTGAGTGCATAAACTTTGTTTCAGTCATTCTTGCACTCAGTGTGAAAACCTTTAATGACAGAAGAGGAACTGCATTTTAAACGCGCTTTTCTGGCATACAAAGATAGGGCAGGGTGCCATGTCTAGCTAGCTAACATAGCTAGCCAGTGGCCATCTTGTTTATCACACTAACGTCGTTTGCAGCCTGCTAAGCTAACTAGCGAGGCTAGGTGATGTTAGCAGAGGAGAGAGTGAAGCGGGGAGGAGAGGCAACAGAGGGGGGAGCAACGGTAGGTTAGTCTCCTCTGCGGTCTAGTGCACTTTTTGCATTAGCACGCTGGCTGAGCACAGCGGGGGGCGGCTGTCAGCTCCGGCGCAAAATAAACTGACTGTGTCAAATTATGGTACGTGTATGTAGGTGTGTGCTGCAGGCTGCTGACTCACTGTACATGCAGAGACAGAGCTAAAAAAAAAAAAAAAAAAAAAGAAAGCAGGAAAACGAGCGAAGCTGGGCAGCTGTAAAAAGAAAACGGGGCACACCGGAGTCGGGTAGCGGTTAATAAGAGATAGCAGTTCAATGTTACCTGCCGGTGACCCGGTTCATGGTCGGCAGTCCGCTTCAGTTCGGCTCCACTACCCGTCACTTGTAGCTGACTCCGCCGGACCCGCCACGTCCACCTCGGCAGAACAACCGGCCGCCTCTCCTCCCCTAGCGTTATATCACTGACTAATTCCGTTCCCTCCTTCTTACCTCCCTTTCCTCACTCTTCCTCTCTCGCTTCTTTCCCCCCTTCAGTACTCCTTCCTTTCTCACTTCTCTCTTTCCTGCCTGCACTGCTCGCTCGTGCACATACCGTTCAGGCTGGTATGTAGGTAACTACGGTAACGGTAGAAGTAGGTGGTTACAGTTTTCAGCGTCCGCGCGCAGAAAGGGTGCGCGCTCGCTCGCTACATTGTTGTCGTTCTCTCGCTATGTTTTCTCCTGTTTTTACGCTCCACGCGACCAGTGTGTTAAAATAACTAAATGAAAGAATGAGCAGCACGCGCCCCATTGAGCCGGGTCAATGCGGTCAAGTAGCAATTCACTGACGTCAGTACAGAACAATTAGAGGGTATCTGCAAGGGTTTGAAAAGGGTTAACAGGCACTGAATTACTCAGTACCCTCAAAAAAGCCTTTAGGAGTTAACGTTAAATTCATGTAATCCATCCTTCACTTATGTAATACCTTCTGTTTTCAGGCATGGACGGATTGTTTTAAAAAAAATGGACACCTGGGCAAAGAATTAGAAGTCCCCCTGTCCTCCTATGTAGAAAACAACTGTTTCTATCTGTCTCTATGTCATTTTTCTATCTTTGTGTTTATTTTACATCTCTCTGGTTAGTTTGCTGTCATTTTAAAAGTGTAATACCAATAAACTTGTTCTGGTTTTGATTAGATTAGTTTGCAAGTCTTTGTGATCATTTTGCATTTCTTTTCAATTTACGCCTGTGGTCATTTAGCATCCTTTAACTGAGGTCTTTGACTATCAGTCAAGAAGTCAGCTTTATAATTCAGTTTTATAATTCTACTAGGAAGATTCATACATGGATACATTTCATACAATAGCTCACAGTTTTCCTTTTAAGTATTTTTGTACTAAATCTGTTAAAATTACACAACCAAAATGACTTTCTGCAGTTGACTACAAGTATTCAGATCATTTCAGTTTTTGCACATTTTACTGTGTTGTATATCTCATTTTTCCTCAGTTTATACACTATATTTCTTTGTAGTAGTTTGTTTTTTCATTAAAATGCAGTAACCAGTAAAGACAAATATCAATTCAATACATTGACATTGCACCGAGTTATGTAGTACATAACGTAAGTCTTTGTATTGTTTTGTTACATTTAGTTTACTGTATTTTGGTTGCATGGTCTGTGTAACACTTGAGTAGTGGAATTAGTTTATTTTACTTATCTTCAAGTGTTTGATGCAATTCTAGCATAAGAAGGTTCAATAACACAGTCACTTCACAAATAAAACTACTGCTGGACTTCTTTTCTTGAATAAATTAGGCTAATTAATATTATTAAGCTAATTGTAGGGGGACTGCAAGCTGCCGAAATGCTGCCAGTAAACTTTGTTTCTGCTTGCTTAAAAGGTGAAGATGAGCTGAATTGCTAGAAAAGCTGGAAGCTAAAATGAATTGCTGCATGACTTAACCATGAATGAAGGAGTAGCTGGAGTAGTTTGAAAAGCTGGAAAAGTAAACCATTGTGTAAGAAATTAAAGAAGTATAATCGAGTGTTCTAGTAATTAATTTAAAGTGTATGACGAAGGAGTTGAGGTATTATTATGGTGTCCTAATTAGAATATATGCAAGACATCAGCTGAGCTATTTAGGCTCAGACAGTAGTGTTCTTAAAATAATCTTCTGTGTACTGTGAGACACAGTGTGTGGCAGCATTTTAAAAAAATTTGTAAGTTCACAGTTTATTCATATGAATGATGATGGCGTCTACAGTATGTGTTGCCTGGATCTGAAGCTCACAGCAAGTTCTCAATCAGAGTTGGCCACAACTGGCACAGTTAGAGGCACGTAACTCAAAAAGTGTAAGCTTTGTCACAAATACAGAAACACTGGCTTGGAGAAGAAGCATATTTGTTTTTATGTATGAAATACATATAAAACTTGGAAGCTGTATGATTAATGAGTAAAATAAAGATGTTTTGGTAGATCGGCAATTATAAGCATCAGGCCATGCTGGGGGGTTATGAATATTTATTGGTTTTGTTAGAATTTTAACACTAAAAAGTATGTCTCTTACACTTAAAAAAAAACAAAGCATCACCACCATCATCATACCATCATGGCAGACAGCTGTAACTTGGTGTAAATGACATTCAGATGATGCAGCTCAACATGGGGCACAAGGTAAAATGACCAAACATATGTGAAGAGTCACTATTTCACTGGTTATTGATGTACAAAGGTGGCAATATTTCACTCAAAGATGACATTAGACACAAAAAGGTCAAATATATGAAGTTGGAATTAATTTACATATTGATTAACTGTCCTGACTCTCTCTTATCACACAAATCCAGGACGTCATTAAATAGGACATCATCATTAAATATGAAACTCTAAAATGTGGTTTTATTAGAGTGCTAAATTACAAAAATGGCACATTTGATCAAAACTATCGCATCACTTCCAAACATTGAGATTAACTTTCTTTGACAAAAAAGAGAAAGTTAGTTCATCAAGGATAAACTGGGACTAGAAATAGATATTTAAAAAACAACAACAAAAGAACAACATTTTATCATTGGCCATGTTTTCCTGCATCATTAAAACATAGTCTGCTCTAAAGTAAAACAACTGAAATTATACTAAAAAACTTTTAAAAACAGTAAAATGCCCCTTTCATTCCCTCATTTACATCACACAATAAGAGGACTTCAAATTGTTGCCTGAGGAACCCTGACAGTTTCCTGGCTACAGGTGAAAATTCTTCTGAAAAAGCTTTTGCTTTTACCTTTACTATAGAAGTGATTACCTTCTTTCACCTTTTTCACTCCTTCACAGCCTGCAGTTTTAACAAAGAGGCTGATATAACATTGTCTCCTCTGCACATAGGAACCACACAACCACTTTTCAGAAAATTGCCAACAAATGAAATAAAAATAAAATAAAATACATCACAGGATTTTGTGTTGTGTTTGGTGATAGGTACATGGATGTGTGAATGGCATCTGAATGTGTTTCAGTGCTAGAAATGAGATACTTGATATGTTACAACTACAGATTGATTTCTCTGAATGTCCTTTAAGAACAATCTTTGGAGGAAAATGTATCTGGATGAAATTTTAAAGATAAAATGAATTCTATAACAACTCTCAAGAACAAAAAAAAAGGTCTGACAGCCTTTAAAAATATTTTACCAATGCAGAAATTCAAATTCCATAATTATATTTCATAAATATTACATTGAATGAGTTCATATTTACAAGGTAAAAATTTTGTAATTGAGATCACAAAATGATGGGCCCTTTTCTCTTAATCATGACATACTTAATTACAGGAAAATGTCAGACTTTTTCCTTTTCTCTATCACAGAATTTTAAGTATAAGTAAAAAAACTTACAGTTTTGAGAAAACTATAGCCTAATTATGAGATGTAAGCTTCATACAAAGTCAAAAATGTGACTCACGACCTCATAATTTTGATCTGCCATGAGTATTTTATTGTTCCTAATCTTTCCTGTTTTCCTTGTTTTAGCAAAAAAGGCTTCCATACATAATGTTGACTCCTTGTATACCTATGATTTTTTTTAAATTAGCTCTTATATTCACAAGATGCAAAATATTAGGGATTTAAGGGCTTAATACAAAAGCTACATGGAACTTAAAATATTATAAAACATATGTCTTCCAACCTGAGAAGCTCGTGTGTTTGCAGTCATGTGGTTTTTACCTGACAGCTTCAGGCTCTGTTTTAAAAAAAAAAGCTAAGACACATCCACAATGAAATGGAAAAAATAAGAGTTACTGTAGTCAAACATCAGTCACACATTTACTGAGGTAATGAGGTCTGTGCAGAGAAAGAAAAAAAAAAAACTTAAATGTCTCACATGAAAAATGAGGTATGTGAACATATATGGAGGCTGAAAAGTCCAATGAATCAGAAAAAGGTACTTTATGTGTACAGAAAAGCAGTTGGATAATTCAGATGTTCCTGAATCAGGTAACAAGCTTTAGTTATTTATGCAGTGTTGAGAGGCAAAGACCAGAAACTACACATTATGCTACTGGGTATGTATGATCGTTATTAAATTAAAGTAGAATTGTACCCAAGAACAGCCAGGTTCCTGATCCACCCAAGTCAAATCCACCTCAAGTTTTTCCATTTCTTTTGTTAGACATCAACTTTATTTTTTGCAAGTGAATGTTCTCCCCACAGGGTGTCTTCTTCTTTTCCTCTAAAAACAGGGTGTCGTCTAATTTTCCCCAAAAAAAAAAAAAAAAAAAAAAAAAAAAAAAGCCTTCCAGCTGCTCAGTAGAGCTCTGGCTTCATATTGCTAAAAACGTTTGGTCAAACCAGTAAAAACTAAATCTCTTTTTGATAGCAAAAGTTTCACTATAGGTTGTACATTTGGAAAGCATGAAAACAATGGAAATAGTTCATTGTGTGGAAGCATCACAGAGCAAACATAAAGCTGGTGTAGTACAGTGTACTACAGAGCTTCTTAAGGGCAAAAATAAAAATACACAAAAAGGTAGGAATGATTAAAAAGCTGCAGAAAGTATAGCTTCCGCAAAGTTAGTTTTCCACTTTGTTGCCTCCACATTTGCATTATAGACTACAGTTTGGTATTTGGACTGATATATGTGGACATAAATTTTTACCTTTGACATTTCTTAAATTTCTTTAAATGGAAAAACAAAGTATATTATAAATCGCTATCACAAGTCACTCAATGTTTTTAATGCCTTAAAACGTAAGACCACTTTCATGCAGTGAAGATGTGTTTCCACCGCCATTAACAAAAGCAATTATTATTAAAGAAATCACATGAGCTGCCAAACTGCACATTCAAAAGAATCTCTTCATTTATAGTGCCTGTGACAAAAAAAAATCATGTTTTTAACTTGTTGAGCCTGGTCAACAAACTGTTGGTTAAAGAGAAACAAATTGCAAAAATACAAAATATTCGAATTTATAAAATTTTGAGCTATAGAGGGGAGGATCTCAAACTTAGAATAAGTTATCAAAAAGTAGATTCCAGAGTTCATGTTTAATGCATAAATAGGATAAAAGAAATGGTGGTTTATGACTAATGCTGCTGCATCAAATATATGATTACAATTTAGTTGGTCAATAGAAAATTGTTATACTTATTTATCAATCTAAAAATTATTTGGTTCCAGTATATGTAAGGTGACAATCAGTTGTTTGGTTGTGTATCATACTGAATAAAGCAATTTGAAGAAATCAGCTTGGCCTCTGGGCCCTAAATATGAACATATCTCATTCACATCTCGATATATGGAAGCCTATTCTGTCAAGTATATTGAAATTACAAGTGAACTCTTTTAATACCATTATCTCACAATTCTATGTAGAATAAAAG